TATTGGGACAAAGAACAAGATAAACCTATAAGGATTTCCCATGAGGGTGGATCCTTGTCGATGAATGTGAGCGAAAGCGGCTGCACACAATTCTCCCGACTGAAGCCTTTTTAGACTGGCCCGTTAGGACAAATTTCCATATCCTTGAAAGATTGTTGGCACCAACCTAGTGATGTGAAAAATGTTCGTTCAGGCCGGTTTGTCAAAAAATTTCTCGAATGGAACCTTCCCCTAGCTTAGGGTCATTGCTTCTTGTGCCACAAACTTATGAGCTTTTTAGCTCTAATCAACTCATTGATTAGGCTCTGAAGGAATTGTAATTCCTTTGTGTTATGGTCATGGTCTCTATTATACACACAATACCTCTTCATACCCTAGAGAAGGCTTCGATCCTCATTAGCAACACATTCTTAGAATACTCAATATTTTGGATGATCTCCACTAGCTCAATTATTTTGACCCTTAGTTGAGTCACTTTTGGTGTTTCATGATCATGCATCAGACACTCATTGTAATGAGTCAGCCGCTGGCAAGGTACCGAGCTTGACCTTTTTGGTTGTAACTTCTTGGCCCTTCTTTTATCTCTAGCCAGCCAATTACCTTAAAAATGTGAATGAACAAAACACATGTCTTACTTTAGCCTCCATCTCTTGCTTTGTGGAGCCCTCTTCCACAGAAGACAGATGGATGGCTCTGTCTTGGCAGAAATGGGGGTAGAAGTTGTACTCCTCAGCCAAGATTTGATTATTGGCCAGCTCCAATAGCTCCGCTAAGGTCTTCGGTCCTGCAACCTAGAGTGTATCAGAATGGTCCTACATTTAGCTATTGAGTTGGGGCGGTGTGCACTATACGGGTTCCATATCCCGCACCTCAATTGATGAAAGACAAGAGGCTCTCTCTCTACCCTTATCTGATCTGTAATATGACCTGTAAAATCTCCCGAGGCTTATGGGCCCTCGGAAACTGCGCCAAACATATCTATTAAAAACATGATTTCTCTCATTGAAAATCTGTTGAACAACCTGAGGTTGAATCCTTCATCTTGGTAAAGAAGCGACAACATTTTAGCGCATCGATAAAGTTCACGAGGCACACTTTCAACTGAAAAAAAGCAATCTAATCGACATGATCAATTCTGCCCTTATGGGATTCCAATGCATATATCTTGAACTTTTTTTGGGGCTTGAAATCTGAGATCTATCAAAAGAAAGCATTCTCAAGATGTTGAGGAGCTTAAGTATGCCAGAACTGATCTCTATCTATCAGTGTTGACGTAATACTATATAAGTATTGGGTGTTTCCTTGTATTTTTAGTCCTTGGGGAGACCTTTGACTGTTAAGCACATACCTTTCAACTAGGGGATTTGGCTCCATTTCCCGATGCAATGCTGCTTGGAGTGCTCCCATCATCTGACCTTTCAACTCTTGCAATTGGTCCTACACAAACATCTTAGTGCACTTCATGTTGGCGGTGTCCTTGTTATGAGTTTCTTTTCTGTGTGCTACTTCTCTTATTATTGTTGGCATGTTTCACACTCACCGTACCTTTTAAGATGTTGAATTTTGATTGAGATATGAAACACTCCCAAGGAATATAGTGTAAGACAAGAGAGAGAGAGAGAGAGAGAGAGAGAGAGAGAGAGAGAGAGAAATACACAACAATGGACAATAATTTGTAACAAGTGTGCAACCCATTATTCACAGAATGATTTTATATTTATAGATAAAGGGGGTATAATATGTGAAGTTACATTTATACCCCTACTTTAGTTGAGGGTGTATAGGTTATTCTAGGCATTTAAAGTATATGGGCCCAAAGCCTGATTGTTCTTGAGCTTGACTGACTGGGCTGGTAGGGTCTTGGTAGGGACTAACATTTGAATAGGCAGATGAGGCCTTAGTAGGCATCACCGGTTAGCTAGATTCAAAAGGTGTTGTTGGTTGACCAATCTTCTGTTGGTAAGGGGTTAGTGAGATTGTTCCGGTAGGCCGTGTATTATCGATTGATTGTCAAATCCAGTCATCGACCTTGGATCCTTAGTGAGGAACTCCTGTCAGCATAAAAAAAGCCAGGCTATTAGTCAAAAGGTGAATCACCATAATTTGATAAGTGGTCAACCTAAGATGAAGAAATCTGGAGGACTACGACTTGTTGTCTTATTGATTCTTGATGATATACAAGAAGTTTGTTGGACATCTTTGATAAAATTGTAGGACTCGAGGGGTTAGCTCATCCCTTGGATTGGTTTCATCATGGTGAATGGTTTTAATTATCCTGTGCTTCACTTTTAGTCAAACTAATTAGGTTTGAGATTTTTCAGTTGCCTTAGTGGGTTTTGGCCTTGACACATCTGGTTGGACAACTGAGCCTTCATATCTTTTACTGGTGGACCCTTCTTTGATATGCCTTTTTCCTATTTGTATCGTCAGACCTCCTCGAGATTAATGCTTGCACTTTTCTTATATAAACATATAATATTCAAATTATTTCATTCTAATCTTAATTAATATAACAAATTAATTTCTAAAAATATTCCCTTATCAAATTACAAGATTATAATAAATTTTAGGTCGAAAGAACAACTAAAAATACTTTCCTCAGCTTAGAAGAACAAATATATGGAAAAGCACAACTTCAAAATGTGATTTGTTATTTTTATTTTCTTAAAATCAATTTAATATAAACTGTTATCAAAATATATTTATTTTTATTTTCATTTGTACCTTTTTATTTCTATAAGAAATTAATTTTAAAAATATTTTTTATATTGATCATAAGGATTTAAACTAATCCCTATTAAAAATTTTATTTTACATATTGATTTAATTTATATAGTTGTACTTCTTGAACTTTTTTTAATTAATCATTTGAAATTAATAAAATCGAAACTAATTATTATTTAAAACTATTGAAATTCTCATATTCTTGAAACCATAATTATAATTTAGTATATTTTTATATAAATATTAATTTCTTGTTCTTCGATCATACATTGCATTAGATGAATGGAGATATAGGGATATTAATTTTTAAAATAATTAAAATTTAAAAGTTACTATTATAAAAAAAGGAATTTACATACTATTGAATATGAGATTGTCCTGTCAGCAAAACCTAGGAGTAGAGCACAAGTGAGAGAGAGAGACAGAGAGAGAGAGAGAGAGAGAGAGAGAGAGAGAGAGAGAGATAAGAAAAGTGACAAGAAGAGTTTGAAAAATTCATTAGCCTTCTGTTGTAGAAATGATACTCTATTTATAGACTTAAAAGTTGTGAAGTGTGCAATTGTGTGCTTACCCCTATTTCAAGTAAGGACGTCATTAGGCATTTTGGTCATAAATAAATACATGAATAAATCAATGAATTAATAAAATAAAATAAAATAAAATCTTTTAGTTGGCTATCCCATCATCCATTTATTTGAGGTTGGGTTCTTTGATTAGTTTGTCTGAGGGTCTTCAAACGACAGGATTATAGAATTTCAGTCGGCCGAACTATGGACCTTGGTCGGTCGAATTAAGGGTCTTTGATCAGCCAGGCCATGAAATTTCAGTCGGCCATAATATTGTTCTTTGGTCATCCAAGTTATGGACCTTTGGTAGGCTAAGGGTCTGTTTGGGGAAGCTGCAACTTCTCAGTTTTTCAGCTGCAGCTGCGCTGCTCCAGGAAGCTGTTGCGAAGAAGCAGTTGCGGGAAAACTAGCTGTCTGTTTGGTGCAACTGCGTGAAACCAACCGTCGGTCAACTGTTTATGGAAAAATGACCATGTTGCTCCTGTTTGGTAAAATTGTTTAAAAGAAGACTGTAACATCCATATTTTTGAAATTTCACAAGCAGAAATTTATTTCCAAACAAAACAGAAAGTTCAGATGCACCACTAACTTAACAGTGAGGCTCGAAAGTGCTAAAAATTTTTGTTTGAAATAATTACACATATGCAACACATTCTTATGTATTTACATATCCAACACATAAACTTTAATTTGTACGAAAATTTGTTTAATACGAGATAATTGGGTAGCATAAATGTAATAAAGTAAATCCAAGTGTTATATATGTAAATATGTTGAATTAATTATGGTTATGAAATAAAATTTAAGTGTTAGATATGTATTAATATGGAATTGATTAATATATGGAGTAAATTTAAGTGTTAGATAGGTAAACATATGAAATACATGCCTGATCAAATGCAGAAAAGAGTTGGGTAACATACATGTAATAAATACATTTTCTCTAAAATATTATAAAAAAATAATATTAAAAAAAATGAAGTATAGTTCATGTTCTCAACTTATTTATTACTTTGCAAAATTCATAATTTATTATTTTATGATTTATAATTCATCAACAATGACAATAGTAATTAGAAAATATATAGATAACTCAAAGTTTGTGATGACTTCATTCCGCACCAATTCAACAGAACAACTGAGTTGCACTACTTAATGTTGAAGCCATTGGTAAAAATGATGGATTCGGCTGTCAACGATTATAGCAGTCATGACTTAACAAACTGATATGAATATAGCAGTCAAATGTGCCAAACAAAGAACTTAAAAAACATCACAATCAGGTAATGATAAGAGCCATGACTTAACAAACTGAAGGAATATAGCAGTCAAATGTGCATAACAAAGAACTTAAAACATCACAATCTGCATGTGAAGAATATTAAGATAAAAAAGCATATAAATATTATAAGCCGAGCAATATTTCCACACAATTTTATCCAGCAAAGCATGATGGCAGACTAGCACAAAAACTCAACCATGATCAAGCATATTGCTGAATTTCTTCATCTCCGTCTTTCTTGGTCTAAATCCATATTGGTATATGTTGTACTAGTGTTAGGAAAATAAAATAAAATTAATAAATAACGAAGAAAGCATGACCCAAGCATTTATAATAAGTTAAAAATGAAGGCTGACAAATATCAAATAAGCATATTATAAGAAAATACAATAACAAAGTAAAAATGTCACAAGAAACTATATATGAAATAAAACAGTTTCTCAGTCAATAAAATATAAGACAAAAAATTTCCTCAAGTATGCCTGTGAGCATGAAAATGTCGTAGAAATGCCACCCGTTTTTTTTGGGAATCGCTGTGAAAAAATCTCTTTGGACTGAATCTTGAAGAAGCTCTACTGCAAAAAAATATAGCTCAAATTTCTCTGAAATTTCCTCATCTTCATCCATAATTTTCACGACTTGCTTAATGGAATTTCCCTGAACTATACGTGGTGCATCGTTGGAAGTATCTACCAGATGTGATATCTGGTTTTTGATAAAAGCAGCTCCACTCTTTTTTCTACCTTCCACACGAGGACGCTTAAAACGGCTGGTGGACTGGATTTCAGGGAGTTCCAGGCTTTGGAGATCGGTTGAATCACATGATAGGTTGACGTCCACATTCTCAGGGGCAACACAAAACTCTGTCTCACTTGGAGTGCATGCATATTTGCCTATTGCAATAACACCCCCAAACATTCGATCTAACTTGTCCTCCAACTCGGGTTCAAGTCCACAAAGTTTGTATTTCGTCGTTGCGGGAACAGCCTGCAAAATCATATTAAACACTTCAATTAGTATTAAAAAATGAAATGAATCAAATTAGACGAAATGAAAAATTACTCACCGCAAGTCTCTCTGTCCACCACTCCTTCGAAGCATCAATGGTTCGCTTCAGCGGATCCCAACCCAAGCCCCTTGATCCTCGTTTTAATTCCTTCCAAATTTTCCAATCATTCTTAAGTTGGTCCTACTTGTTTTTTATTTGCATCCCGTCATACAACCTCCCTGTGCTTCTCTTGAAATTTGCGATAATATGTTGCAACCCTTTCTCATTAAGATATGTCATATACCTATTTCCTAGTTCAATCTCCTTAAAGCAAAGATCACAAAATAATAATTTTATTTCTTTCTCCCAGAATGCCAGTGTACTATACTCTTTGGTCTTGTTAGTCATTGTATTGCTAAAATAGAACAAATTATTGTAAATAACAATAAAAAATAATTTTCTTGTTAGAAGAATCCACCAAATTTCATGGGAGAAGAAAGTTACACTTCAAGCAAAAATTACTCTAGAAAAAAATGCAACTAAAATAAGTTTAAGGTTGACGATCATACACATCTATCAACTATATATAACAAAATATAAAAAGAAGCCTTGGCTCTGTTTCACTAACAAAACCAATTAAACATCTCTAAGACAAACAGACGTAGCCAACCCTGCCAACCATCACCATCTTAAGCAATAACCAGTAAAAACAGAAACACATATTTAGATACAAAATATGTTTTTATTTCATATTAAACATAAAAGAAGAATAAAAACCAAAAAACAAAAAGTGATCCCAAACTTCCAAGGAAAAATATTGAATAGTTCTAGAGGGAGCCCAAGGCAATCATCTAAACGAGAAAAGGCCGCAATCGTGCCAAAATGTCAATTGCAAGATAAGGTAAAGATTGCCACAGATCACTATGCATCAATACCAAGTGGCAATGGCAGCAATGATCACCTAAAGAATATCTTGGTCATCCAAAGATGCTACATCATCACCATAGGAAGCATATGGATCTCTTTACTGGCCAGGTGCACGTGATGGCCACACTGTAAATCATCATTAATGCCTTCAAACATTCTTGATCATAAATGAAGGAAATGGCAGCACACTAGTATATGCATATCAAATATCTAGATGATTACCAAATAAAAGGTCCGATAAGTTTTCTTTCTGAAGACATCAATCTTCCTTGGAGAGTGAAGCAACACTGATGTGTCTTTATACATATCATCTTAGTTCGGGTCTCATCATCTTGTGGCAATTGCACAGGGATCATTCAAAAAAGGGTTATAAAACAGAAACTAAGACATGGAAAAGGAGAACGGAAATGAGAAATCTGAAGCTCAAATTCGCCTTTATGCCATCAAAAAGATTAAGCATTCACATGTTCTCAAACATTGACGCATGAAAGCATTGGTTTCCAGCAAAAGCATACACCATCAAAACTGCTACATCGCCCTTGCAAGAGAGCAAGATCGATGAAGCACCTTTGATAGGGACAAAAAGCGCCTTCCATGTCGAGTTTAAACATCATCCCCATGGATGATCATTCAGCACCACTTTAAAGAGTCTAGGGACTAACTTAGCACTTGAAAGCAAATACACCAACCAGTGACTCATGGAAAAAGTGATTACTCTCAAAGGCACAAGCATTCCAAGCAACTCCATCACCATTGCAGGTGAAGGGAACGCAGTTAGGGATCTATTTGAAACTTTAATAGAACTATCTTACTGAATCCTTGCTCTCTGATTTCTCAAAGAACTCCAACAAAAAGGACTCCCGGGAATACTGAAACCAATAAGAATTAGAACAGCAAAAAATGAAGAACAATTTAGGAGGAGAAATACGGATCAGGAGCGACGGTGGAAGAGGAGCAGTAGCTGGGGGAAGAACGTCGGGAGGCTTTGCGACAAGGACGGGAGCAGCGGCGAAGGGGCTTCGCTCGATTCTAGGGCAGCAAAGTTTCTCCGCACGGTCTCAGAAACACTAGAGATTAGGGCGCGGCTTCTAGCCGGACAATGAGGTAATAACAGTCGCGAACGCGGGGCCGCGGCGGTGCGCGAAAGCGAAAAAACAAAGATGTGCGTCGCGGTTTGGGGCCGCACCACTCGAAAAAAGCGCCCCAAACGGTAGCGACGGCTGCGGCACTGTATGCTAGAGCTCTCCATTACCAAAGCTTCAATTCCGCGATCCGGCGGCCGACTCTCCTCCTCCTTGCGTTGTGGAAATCGTTGGCGCATTGCATCCTCGCCGGTGTAGACCATTTCAGTGGCAGCATCCACCTTCCACGATGGTTGATTGCTCTATTAAATATCACCATTGAATTTTAGCGGTAAAAGGTGCGTAATTTTCTATGTTGGAGTTCACTTTTTCTTTCTTTCGTCTTCGCCAAAGATTTTTTTTTTTTCTTTAATTCAATTACTATCAGAATGTGCATAAATGTTGACTTCTTCATGTATGTTTAGTCTTATTTGCGAGGTGGTTTTATGAATATCAATGGCTGTGTAATTCTCTCCGTCATCACTTCAACTGAAATTATCCATCACATGGGTCTGTTATAATAGAGGATATTGTGCAATGCTTCCAAATTTTCACTCCAAGTTTTTTTGCATTGAAGAACTGCATAAAGCGAAAATGCCTTGCATGCATCTTATTGCTTGGAAAGCAAGCAAAACACCACAAAAACCATTAACAATCTTGAATATGGAAAGAGCAAGAAAAAAGGTTTAGTTAGGTTTTCTAATCTCTTGCTTCGTTGTAGTCAAAATGATGAAATTGGGAATTCGAAACTTTTGGGACGTGAGAAGAGTGATCTGTTAAAATCAACTCCCATAGCATGGCCAGTTTCTCCTCTGTTAAATTAACACTAATTTACCAAGGCATAGTATTTTTAGATGCATTGATTTAATAAATTTTATGCTCTGGTTTTGTAGAAACAGATGAGGAGGCAAGAAACTCGAAGATTACATTAATATCTCATACACTAAACTGTGTACATGGTTGTCTATATACAGACAATTGAGTGTAAAGAAAGCATAACTCTTGATCAGTTGTTTACAATTCTATTGCTGAAAATATCTTTGGATATAAATAAGACTAATATGATTATTGCCTTCCTTCAACATGATTGCTCTTGGCAAGAACCCGAAGCTTGGTTCTCAATTTGTTGAATTAGGGCTTGTATAATGATTTTGTAAATATTTGAAGTTTGTCTGCTTGGATGTGGTTTCTGATAAAGTGATAATCAATCTCTATTTTCGTACAAACATGTAAAATCAGGTTATTCGCAAGTGCTACAGCAGATATGTTGTTGCAGTATAGTTTGGTTGGTTGAGTTTGTTCAATGTCTAATTCCTTGAGAAGATGACATAACCAAAGCATATCCAAGGTGTTTGCAGCTATGGGACAATATTCAGCTACATTATGTTGTTTCCTTACAGTCCAAGATAGGGGTTTTGTACCCAGAAAAGAGCAAAAGCCTTTCGTAGACTGAGGACTAGTGGAATCACTAGCCCAATCCATATCGGAATAGGTCTACAAATATAGATCTCCCTTAGTGATTTTGATGTCAAAAGTCAGAGTACCTTCTAGATACCGAAGAAAACTTTTGAGGAGTTGAAAGTGATATTTAGTGGGATTTTGCATATGTTGACATATATAGTTAATCTTAAAAGTGATGGCTGCTCTTTTTATGTTCAGGTACTTGAAGGCCCCAGTGAGGATCCTTTATTCAGCGGGATTTTTTGCAGGCTGATTTGGAACAGATACTTGTGGCTATTTATTGTGTAGAAGAGTCTTTTAATTCCATCATTATTGCAGTTTCATATAGTTGAACTACATATATATTTTGGCCTACAAACATATGTTCATCTACTATTTGAGTAGCCCCAATTCCCAAAAAATTGAATATTGGACCCAATTGTTTGATTTGAAATCTTGAATTTGGTCTAGCTTGCAGATTTTGGATTGCGGAAGTACTATCTTCTATAGTTAAGATGTCGTTGACATGTAACAAGACAAAGATTTGCTGATTTTTGTGTTCTGATATGAGTAGTGAGGGATTGGCCTTGCTAATAACAAAGTTCACACTGATAAAAAACTCAGACTATCTCAAACCAATGACATGGTCATAGTTTTAGACAGTATAAAGTTTTCTTGAGAGAACAAGCTTGATTGAGTAGTCGAGGATCCATATATCACTTGGGCTGTTGTATGTAACCAATTTCATTGAGGTTACCATGTAGGGTTGGCATTTTAGCTACGGAACTAATTGTCTCATAAATATTAATGCCATATTTATTTTTATTTCTATGGCACCAATCTTTCTTTTGTACCATGACACCGTACCATTAGAATTATATTTTGTTTTGTAAGTCCATTTTCATCCAAGTATTGGTTGATTTTTCAGTGGGGAAACCAATACCCACATTTCATGGGCTTGGAGAGCCTGAAATTATTCATTCATCAATTGTCTCCAATGGGCGTACTTCACAACTAGAAGTAACCGAATGAAGCTAATTGAGGCATTGGGTGCATTTGAGGCGCCCTGTCCTAGATCAAATAATCATACGGTGGTATTTCTTGGTGGTAGGCAGATTAAGCTCATCAGTTTCAGGTGGCTAAGGCTACTGGATATGATGTATGATGTTCAGGTGGAGTTAAAGAAAACAGAAATTGAGACCCATGCTGGGATCTGTCAGCCTGAGGAATGTTGTTTTCTGTAGGGTCATCTCCTGGTTGTTGTCAAGCAATAAGGACTTGCACTGTTTGGTGGAAGTTATCAGTTGGAGGAGTAATATTGTTTTTACTCTTATATTCGCCTACATCATCTTATCTTAATATTTTTATTTTTACTTGAAACTCAGTTGTAAGCATCTTAATAAGTAAGATGCATTTATAAAGTGTTTCTGAGTTACTCATCTGAGGAAAAGCCCAACAATATTTAGAGTACTAACCAACAAAATGTGCATGGTATCGGTATCCTTGATTTGATATAATTGGGAAGGGACCCCATACATCACTATGCATAAGTTGGAGTGGTAGATAGAAGAGAAGGGGAATGATTGTTTATGGATTTTATTAGCGTTACAGTTATGACAAGGAGATGTCTTGGCTGTTTTGCCAAGAGACGGGTACAATTGTTGGAATTGCTGGAGTATATTTGAACTCGGATGACCAAGTTGCTTGTGCCAAGACATTAATGAAGATATCGAGGAAACAAGGGCCTTGGGGAGAGTTGCTGAAGTTGGGGCAAGATTGGGTTATGAATTGTGTATAAACCTTTAGAATTGTTGCTTTGTAGGATAATTTGCCATGTCTGAGGATCAAAAATAGAAAACCAATAGAATCAAATGTAACTGCAACTTTGTTGTCTTTGTAATCTTATAAAAACAGAGCAGGTTATGAGTTAATTCTGGAACATGCCAAATTATTGCAAGGTGAAGCTTATGATTGGGTGTTGGAAGATTGTGATCGCCATTATATTTTGCCCAGGACAGATTGACCACTTCCATGAAACTTTTCTCTATTTGTTGATATTATTTGACCACATTATTTTATAGTGGTAATAGAAGGGAAACTTTTGCAGATCAAAAAATTCTATTTCGTGGGGCCACCAAAATTCAATAATATTATCGAAGCTTAGAGAAGGAAGTATATTAAAGATGATGTTAACTATAATGTAAATTATGAGAACAGGTTCAGTAATCTTAGGAAGCTTAAAGAAAGATAAATTAAATATATTTAAAATATTGGTAATAAATATCAATGTAATTTTTAATAAAAAAAGACAACTTCTTATAAAAAAATATTTTTGAATCTTACTTCAGAATTTTTAAGGCTTATATATGCAGTACTTGATCAATGATTGCTATAGGAAGGCTATAAGTTTGCCCAATTCTAGAAGTTAGAAAATCATATTGTTTTGTACATAGAATGAGTAGAAAATCATATTGTTCTGTACATGGAATGAGAGTAATTGGATGCGCTCAAGAATACAACCAGCATAAAAAGTATTTTAGACATTATATTTACTCTACTTTAATTAAATTTTTTTCATGTTAGATTCATAAATTAAGTAGAAAATGTATAACATTGTCTAATGAAGTAATTGATGCGTTCTTCGATTACTTACATTTTGCAACAAAATTTGCACTTGATATTCAAATCTCTAACAATTGAAGTCTCATGCCCTTGCCCCCATTTGTGCCCCCTCCATTTATTCGATTGTCCTATGAAGGTGCTGTAACTCCCAACCCATTCAGGTATCCCCTCCTCCGAACCTCCTCCTACTTCCTCAATGCCCTCTTTAATCTCCATCTCTCCTTTCTCACTCTCACACCGACCACTCAACTCAGTTGCAATGAAAATTGCTACATTACCCCACACCCATTTTCCACACCCTCCAACCTCCCCTAGTTGCAATTGGAGTTCTTGCTCACAAGAACATTCTCAATTAAAGTTTTTGCTTTTATCTTGCATTTTTATTCAGTAAATGTTTGTAAGATTGATGCTTCAAGGCTCAGATTGGTGCATTCAAGATTTGAAAAGATTTGTTCTTGGAATGGAAGAGTTGGAACTTATAGTCCAATGACGATATGTCATATAAAGGTCAAGGAAAAAAATTATCTAACTTTGGGAAGAAGGCTTACCCTGAAGATTGGAATTGATAAGTTTGTTGAGAAAATTAAGTTTTAGTTCGGGAGGCTGGGTTTGATTTGAGTTTATTTTGACTAGGGATTTGATTGATTTTGGGTTTAAAAAGTTTAACTTGAGGGGCTCACTTGATTTGATTAGGTTAAATTAGACAAACTTGGTTTGAGTTATTTTTTTTGCATTGATTTGGGTTGGTGAGGTTTGTTGAGATCTGAAGGCTATTAAAGTTTGTTTAAAGTCTATTTGAAATTTATTTGACTTTTTTAGATGTTTGAATTTTGTTAAAGCTTATTGAAGTTTGTCAGTTTTAATTGAAGTTGTTTTAAGATTTGTAGAAATATATTGAAATTTATTTGAAATTTGTTTGGAGTTGATTGAGTAATATTTGAAGTTTATTTAAGATTTGTTTTAGATAATTAAATTTCATTCGAAGATACTTGAAGTTATTTTGAAGTTTCCTTGAAGATGTGTTTAAAGTTGTTGAGGTTTGATAAATTTGTTAAAGTTTGGAAGTTTGTTAAATTTGCTTAAGTTTGTTAAAGTTTGATAAATTATTTAAAGTTAGTTAATGTTTGTTATATTTATTAAAGTTTGATAAATTTTTGAGAGTTTGTATAAAATTTTAGATTAATAAGGTTTATATGAAGTGGGTTTGAAGTTTTGGAGAAAGGGAAGTTAAGAAATTTTTGAAGTTTAAAATTAAGGTTTTTGGGGTTTGAAATAGTTTAAGGTTCTCAAGAGGTTGTGATTTTGGATAAAAAGTGTTAAGGATTTTGAAAAGATTTTGCATTGAGTCGAAAGTTTGATTGATTGCAAATGTTTGAATATAAAGAATTGCAGTTAAGGATTTAAATGAAGTTGAAAGTTTGGTTGAAAAAGTTCGAGTTGGAGTTGAAAGTT